TTACTTTATTCAAAACGCCAGTTAGCGTCACACAAACATTTTAAATAATTAACCATTTACAGAGGGGGAGAGGCTATACATATATATATTTAAAGTCTAGTTAGCAGGCTAACACATAGCTACATTAGCTAACAGGTGTGTCTCTTCTCACCTCTGACCTTCGGCTTGAAGTCGCACTCGCAGCTGTCTGAAATTGTGCAGTAAAGTTTCTGAAAAACACCAAAAACGGGGTTACAAAGGTATAAAATCAGCACAGACAGGACGGCCAACATTTTGGCTACCTGCTGGCTCTGAGAAAACCTCACAGAAACCTCTCTGGCGGAAGCCGGTCAGTTTGTAGTTTTTCTAAGTTAAGGGCGTAAACCACGGACACGTAACGAAGACAGGAAGAGGACTACATTTCCCAGGAGGACAGAACAAAATGGGGAGTTGTGTGTGGCGGACACGTTGGAGGATCACAGTCCAGAAGGAACAGCGGTTTATAAATATCAATCTATTCCGCAATCTATTGAGCATACAATAAATATAAATATATAAATATAAATATAAATATAAATATAATATATAAATATAATTATATATATAAATATAAATATAATATATAAATATATATATAAATATAATATAAATATATAAATAAATATATATATATATATATAAAATAAATATATAAATATAAATATATATATAAATATAAATATATATATATATACAAATATAAATATAAATATACAAATATAAATATATATATAAATATAAATATAAATATATAAATATAAATATATATATATAAATATAAATATATAAATATAAATATAAATATATATATATATATAGAAATATAAATATAAATATACAAATATAAATATAAATATAAATATAAATAGAAATATAAATATAAATATATAAATATAAATATAAATATAAATATAAATATATAGAATATAAATATAAATATACAAATATAATATATATAAATATAATATATAAATATAAATATATATATAAATATAAATATATATATACAAATATAAATATACAAATATAAATATATATAAATATAAATATATAAATATATAAATATAAATATAAATATAAATATAAATATATATATACAAATATAAATATACAAATATAAATATATATATAAATATAAATATAAATATATCAATATAATATATATAAATATAAATATAATATAAAATAAATATATAAATATAAATATCAACGTACTCATAAATTAAAGGTAGTTATAGATTTATTTTAGTTAAAGCTTTCTGTATAATTTAATGATCTTCTGGAAAAGAAAAAGGAATTGCCACTTGAATTTCAATGTTTTACATTAATAAATAATAATAAAATAATAATAATATTAGATTTTATTTAACAAACACTGTTCAGGTACTCAAAGGCACAATCATAATTATCCATTTTTCTTCTAAGAAAATACTGACCAGACTTTTATACAGTCATGACAAGTGTGTTGTGTTAATGTTGTGCTCTGCCTCAAATCTGTTTGTTTGCACTTCCTGTTGTTGTTTCCTCTTTTCTAGATCCTTGCTTATGTTTCTCTTTCTCTCTGATGTTCGTCTCTAAAGTGTCTAATAGGTGAATTGTAGAATTGTAGAAATGCAAAACCACCATCACAGGGTTTAATTTTAACATGTTTGATGTGAGTTTTTGTTTTTATAAATGTACATTATAATTCAAAGACGCACCTCTTCACAGCAGATCTGTCACATATGATGTCTTCAACCTGCAGACCACTTTATATTCATATTTATTTAATGAATCCCAAATATTACAGGAATATGAAAAAATAAAGACCCAAAGTAAAATAGTACGAGTGACACCAACATTCAACACACGACGTCACACATTGTCTTGTATTTTGTATTATTTGAAAAAGAGAGTTCTGCTCTCTATTGGTTTTCCTGTTTAAATAAAGGTCATATCTATATATAAATAAGCGTTAAGAAACTCTCATTACTGAGATTAGAAGGAAAACGTCTCTTTCTAAATGAACAAATAACTTCAATTCATTTGTAGTTTGATTTTTATCCCCCAGTTACGACCACAACCTTCCCCGTGTTACAGTCGAAGTGAGGGACACGCCCCCTAAACACAAGATGAGGATTATTCAGAGATATTTATGGTCCTGGTCTGGACTCGGTCTGGATCCCTAAATGTCTCGGTCTTGGAGCACTCTGGTCTCAGCGTGGTCTTGACTACATCACTAAATGCAGCATAACGATGAAGCTTTGATGAAGGTTGAGTCATGAGTTTCAGACATGTTTCTGACGGGTTTAATCCAACAAAGAGGCGTCACAGTTTGGTAAAACACGTTTATTTACATTTCACATTTCAGATAAATATTAAGACATTAATACTGTAAGATGTACCGGTTTACATGTGTGCTGTACTCGTGGTGAGAGTCTCTTCAGTGGGACAGAAGACAGACACAGAACGTGTGATGTTGTTACAGAAACCTGAAGATTAAAATATATTTAAATACTAAAGAAGAGTTTTCTACAGAACACAGCTCCAGTAATGTCATTAAATATTCACTTCACATTAGATCATCCTAAAGACGACCACATGATGATAAATATTAGAAACAAAAGGAAATCGTTATCGTGCTCTCGGGTTGTCGATCGTACAGCTGATGATGATAAATGAAGGTCCAGCCTTCAGAACACAAACATTGAGAGTGAGCGGACAGAGAGAAGCACAGCGTCATCTCACATCACCTTTATTCTGTAAAACAGATCTCTGGTATCCTTTGGGATCTTTTCCCCCCTTCAGTTTAAAAGCACAACAGATCCTGTCACAGTCCCGCTAATCTGCACTCATCTTAGATTCACATTTTGGTTCTTTATTGGACAGAAGAAGTCTTTGGGGAGAGCTGGAGCATTTTAAAGGTATGTTCAGGTATGTTACACCCTGGACTGTTCACCAGCCAATCACAGGGCTGAATTATAGAGACAGACAACCAGACACACTCACATTCACACCTACATGTGGTGCTTTTATTTTGAAGGTGGACAAACTGAAGTGTGGTGCTTTGTGTTGACGAGCTGTTGACTCAAATCTTCAAGTCGTCAATAAACGGCTCGGGGTGAACTGAAAAAAAAGTTTTTCTCCGGTGTTGCTACAGGTCAAAGGTCAACATTTCATCACTGATGTGGATAGTATTTAGGCACCGCTCTGCTGAGTGAGAAAAGTGAGTGACAGGGCCTTGTAGAGCCCCCTCCCCCTCCTTGTTCCTTGTGCATCTACAGCACTTAAAATAAAAACATGGTGTCTGGGTCCCTTCAGGCTGAGTCAGTAAAGACACTCCAATAGGAAACAATAGAATCAAGATGGCGCTCGCTCTCGTTGCTTGCTGTTAGGACCGGCTGTAAGAAAGTTAGCATGAGAATAATATGAAGTTAACATGTTTTTGTTTTAAACATGAATCAAAACAATCTTCAGAGAATCATCGTGTAGCGTTCACATGATGTGCGTTTTAATAATCCTGTTAAACGGAGCATCAGAAGTCCGTCTGCTCAGTGTCCAGCGTGTCTGCTGCAGGGATGAGAACACAACAGGAGCCCCTCCCGGGCAGTTATCTGACGGGCGGCTCCAGCTTATTGGACAGGGCCGTCAGCACCTGCTCGAACTTGGCGTATCGCAGAGCCTGGTTCTCCTCGGCCCCCCTGCTCCCCCACAGCAGCCTCATCTGGAAGTCTGTGAGGAAGAGCTCCAGGACCTCCGGCTGCTCCTGGAAACCTGCAAAGAGGACATGACATCAGAGACGTTTACTACGCAGGGAGACATTTAGAGCCTGAAGTCAGGGAGCTGCTCGTCTTTTGAAATGTTCACCACTCCTCGAGACTTCTTCATCTGAAGATATTCTCTGTGAGTCACACAGACTGAAAACTTGTTAAACTGAAACGTTAAGTTTGCAATGCCACAAAATGACGCAGAGCAGAAACAAAAGCACAAACTTCTGCATGCCTGTTTTCACATATTCACTCCAGAAAATGGAAGTTTGCTATGAAGTCCGATGCTATGAAGAAGTTTTTTGCCTTAATGACGACGCCATATATCGACAAAACAATGAGGAAGACTATTGCAACTCTCTACTGGCTGGTCTTCCTGCATTCACTATGAAAGTCGCTCCTCTGTTCATCTCCCTCCACTGACGCTCAGTTTCTGATCACATCAAATTTAAAACTCAAAAACGTCTCCTCCTAACTTTAACTCTGTCATCCAGGTCTACTACTTGTGATGTTCTTACTCTCTGATGTTCCTCACTTTGGATATTTGTAGAATATTGTAGAATCTGCATTTATTTTATTGAAGCAAACGTTTTTGCAACTTTTGAATCTTTATTATGTTTCATTATAGCCTGCCTTAAGTAGGAGGATAGCTCGATATCATGCAGAAACAGACGTGTCAGATTCTCCTCTTACAGCATCGCAGACAGAGACCGAGTTACACTCGAGTGTCCCCCCCCTCCTTACCTTGGAGTCTGCTCTCCGTGTTGGAGCGGTAGATTCCCCCAAGCTGAGCGATCGTCCTCGCCGCCCCCAGGTGGAACATGACCACGTCCACCCCGGCCTCCACCGTCTCCCATGGCTCCGCCCCCTCACCCACCGCCACGCTCTTCTCCAGGAGAGACAGGAGGGGGAGGACGTGGGGGAAGGTGGTGCTGGAGAGCGGACAGCTTTCTGTTGGACGGACACACAGAAGACAGAGTTTAACGTTTTACTCTAAAAGGAGGTACTCTCACTTAAAGACAAACCAGAATACGAGATATCTGAGGCCTGTATATTCATTTTCTTCAGGATGAAGATCTGTCTCATATTTTGAGCTCGGCTGGTAAAGAGTTGGCGATGTCTGTGATCGTGGTCGTTTTTGCAGAAACTTTTCTCGGGCAGAATATTTGTGATTAACAAATCATCTATGGCAATGTACTCCCTTTGGTTATTTTTATTTAATACGGACAATAATTATGTTGCAACATTTTTGTAATTAAAGTTTTGTATTATTATATTTTACTTTTCTCCCCCCATTATTTTATAAATGTGTATATCTGTGCATGTGTATGTCTTCTTTTGTCTTAGAATTGATTTAATTGTAATTGTGTGTCTTGGAAAACTGTTTATAACTCAATAAACATATTGCTAAAAAAACAGAAAAAAGGACTCTGTACTCTGCTGTTCTGGGAGGAGTAACATGTTCATCTCTACCTCTCCCGTCGTTCAGACTCTTCATGAACGGCCTCAGAGTCTTCTCATAGAGAATAGCGCCCTCTGTGTGTCGCTGCCGTAACGCCGTCCAGGTCTGCTCAAGGCGGGACACCTAAGGGAAAAGAAACATCCCCATTAAACCTGGGCAGTGCCAAAGACAGGATGGAAGCTATGTGGCTAATAAGCTAATTGATATCATTTAAAAAATCTCTGAATTTCAGTTAGACAACTGCACAAACACAGATAATAAGATGCAAAAGGCTGCAAAGCAACGTAGAACAACCACAAAAACAAATGTTTAAAGGAGCAATCTGTAGGATTTATACAGAATTACATCCTAAAGGTATCTTACTCTCTGATCATTAAGGAAACATGTTGAAGTGCTGGTTGCTATGACAACAATGCAGCAGCCAGTATGTCCTCCTTCTAACTTTACATTCTGCTCCTGAATGCTCTGGATTTGTTTGGACCAGAGAAGGTAGGCGCTTTTAAGACCCCCCCCCCCCACACACACACACACACACACACACACACACACACACACACACACACACACACACACACACACACACACACACACACACACACACACACAGGAACACACACACACACACACAAGAACACACACACACACACACACACACACACAGGAACACACAGATAAAAGACGCTTGGGATGAAATAAACATAATGAATGTTTGTGAACTGAAGTGTCATCTGCATCGTTTTTAATTTTTGAGTTTTATGATCATGAAAATATTCATTACATATAATTTTTAATTATGAAGCTAAATATTGTAAAAGTAAATATTATACAACTGTAGATTTAAATTAAATCTAATAACCATCCGTCATTGTGCCTGAGCGCTCAGCCCTCAAACATGCATCAGAAGTTTATAGCTGTCATAAAGATAAGGAGTTTGTGCAGCACACAGATTTTCTTGTTTGATTTATGGCACCAATCAGAGATAAGGAGTTGGCTCTGTTTGAGTGTATAGAGGTGAACACAGGTTTGGATTGTTAATGATTAACTAAAGCAGCTGAAATATCTTTAACCTAAAGCCCAGAGGCGACCACATGTCCTCCATCTTTAACCTCAGAGTCTCAGTCGACTGTCAGTCGAGCACGAGGATCGTTCCATTCCAGCTCTATGGGGGTGTTTCATGTCTCACTTTACATGTGTCTGTTTTGTTGAAATAATTCATGACTCTCTTGGTGTAAATAAATCTCCTTCGCTCTGAAAACCCCTCGTACTTTAAATCACTCTCCTCAGTGTGTGCATGAAGAAATCACCCTGAAGTTTTGATAGAAGCAGATGATCCACGTTTAGAGAATTTCATTGGCTACAAGAGATGTCAGTCATCGGGACAGTCGCGTTAAAAAGTAAGTGGACTGGGGCGCTGGTGGCGCAGTGGTTAGTGCACGCGCCCCATGTATGGAGGCTGTAGTCCCAAAGCGGGCGGCTCGGGTTCAAATCCGGCCAGTGGCTCCTTTCCTGCACGTCATTCTCCTCTCTCTCTCTCTGCCTGATTTCCTGCTCGATCCACTTTCCATTAAAGGTACAAAAATCCCCAAAATAAATCTTTAAAAAAGATCTGTAGATCTTAATGGATGATACGTGTTGGGATCTTTTACTGGATTAAAAGACCATGTTTGTTGTCGGTGGACTGACAGATGTGTAGATTGTAGATTGTGATTATTCTAAGATTAGAAGAGAAATAGTTTAACGCTGTGTTTAATTTGAACTTTAAAAAGACGATCTGTAGAACAAATCAGGTTCAGTCGGGGACAGACCTTCTAAAGCTCAAGATGCTGGGTGTCCTGTGTGTCTCCACAAACACAAAAATAAATCACTTTAAAGAGAACGAGCTCCTCTCTGCTCTGTGTGCTCGTTTACCTGCGGCAGCTCTAACGCTCTCATGACAGCAGCGAAGCCGAACATGTTTCCCATGGTGCTCTTCAGCTCAGCAGCGATCTGGATCAGTCTGTGCAGCAGGCCGGCCCGCTCGTCAGTCGACCCTGTGCAGCCCAACACATCCACAGCCAACATGGTCGCCATGGTGTGGAACCTGCAGGAGGGAGGAGGGAGGGGAGGAGGGAGGATGGAGGAGGGAGGAGGGAGGAGGGAGGAGGGAGGAGGGAGGAGGGAGGATGGAGGAGGGAGGATGGAGGATGGAGGAGGGAGGATGGAGGATGGAGGATGGAGGAGGGAGGAGGGAGGATGGAGGAGGAGGGAGGAGGAGGATGGAGGAGGGAAGAGGGAGGAGGGGAGGAGGATGGAGGAGGGAGGAGGGAGGAGGGAGGATGGAGGAGGGAGGATGGAGAATGGAGGATGGAGGAGGGAGGATGGAGGAGGAGGAGGAGGGAGGATGGAGGAGGAGGAGGGAGGAGGAGGGGGAGGGAGGGGAGGATGGAGGAGGGAGGAGGAGGGAGGAGGAGGAGGAGAGGAGGGAGGAGGAGAGGAGGAGGGAGGAGGAGGAGGGAGGGGGAGGATGGAGGAGGGAGGAGGGAGGAGGAGGGAGGAGGGAGGAGGGGGAGGAGGGAGGATAGAGGAGGGAGGATTTATTAATTTGGTCACATTGCTGAATCTCTATCCTGTCTGACAGATCTGTGCTGTATTGACCTGTCAATCACAAAGTAGCCCCGCCCTAAATCCTCTCATACTTTCTCTTTGACTCTGAATGGGACCCCCCCCCCAACTGGACATTAGTAAGAATGCAGGTTTCCGTCACTTTAGCTTATTACTACACTCACCTCTCCAGCAGGTCGAGCCTCAGCTGTTGTCCGTGTGGCAATGTGAGCAGCTCCATCCCTGAGCTAACTCCCATCATCCTTTGCACCTCCGGGGTCACCTCCAGTATTCTTGCCACCTGAGAAACACAGACAAACAAATTATTGGTTTTCTCCTCTGTGGGCCCGAAGCGAGAACAGCATCGCAAAAAAAAAGGTTGCTCCTAATTTGACTTCTTTGCTAATAAATAACTTTTTCTTTTACAAAACAAAAACAGATTGCATGTTGCTTTTCTTTTGCCTTTTCCGATGCGGTCTCTGGACTGGTCTAATCTAGTGGATCTAAAGACCTGTCACAATCCATGTTTGGTTTGAGCCTTTTGAGGGATCTGAATAAACCCTGACCTGTTAGCTCTGGTTTGATCTCCACCAACTTCTGCCTCTATAACTTTTAAATGTGTAACTTTCATCACCAGGTATTCTAAGTTTCCATCATTAGGACATCCTCTTCTCTGTCTGAAAGGCGCTTTATAAATAATAATTCTATCATTCACAGCAGGATCCCTCAGTACCTTGCAGTCGGCCATGGTGATGTGTTTGGCCGCCGTCTTGGGGTCGACCTCGGCCAGCAGCTCCTTCACCCTCCGCAGGATGGAAACCTCCAGAGGCTTGTTCTCCTTGGGCATCAGCGGCGACTGGTACCTGCTGGGTTTGAAGGCTGAGACCGTCTCCACCACAGGTGAGAAGAACACGACCCCGTCTTCCACATTCAGCGGGTTGACGCCCTCTGACCCCGCCTCCTCCGAGCGCAGCCTCTCCACATAGCTCTGAGGGCCGGCACTCAGCTCCGTGTAGCAGCTTCCATCAGAGGAGAGGGAGTCCTGGTTCAGAGCGGGCTGGTCTCTGTCGCTGAGGGGTCTGTGGAGGGTGCTGTTCTGAGAGGGTGGGGGTCGCCTGGAGACGGACGGAGAGGGTGCCACGCTGCCTGCACGGCTGCTGCACGGGCTCCTGCACTGACGGGCTAGACGTGAGGGAAGACGAGAAAAAGAGAATATTCATTAACTCAGACAAAAGAGCCTTTTATTTAAGGAGCTCCAGTGCATTGCTCAAGAGCACCTTGGCAATGCTTCAGAACTGAACTAGCTGCTCTACAGCTACCAGACCCAAATCCATCCAGTCCGACTGCGACCCGAGCCGGAGACCCTCCAGCTGTCAGACCAACACATCACATGCATGTTATATAAATGTTAGACAAAGCTTTTTGAATTTCAGCTGATAAAACCAAGCAGCAACCTCCGGTCTTAAAAAATCAACCCATTGAAAAATCCTGCAGTTCCTGGAGTGTCCACTAGAGGCTGGCTGCAGAAGCACAGGAAGTCACATACACACCCATTCTAAAAAGCCTGTTTTTACAGCAGAGATGAACATGTTTACAGCCTGGTTCAAAAAACCAAATAGGTGTGATTAGCTCATGTCTCGATGGACACACACTGTACGGGGGGTGAATGTTTTGATGACTCATCAGTTTTGATTTGATGAAGGATAAGAGTTATTCACAATAAGGCGTGTAGCTGACCTGATTGACAGGTGGGCGCGGTGTAACGGTTTGTCAGGAGGTTTAAAACCCGCCTCAGCTCCAGCTCTCAGCCTGTCGTTAGGTTGACTGAAAGTTAGACTGAGACAGCATTTCCAGCATGGAGACCGCCATCGATGGGACTCCAGCGCCCCCTGCAGGGACAGCCGGGGGACGTCACTCAGCGTTTGTCCTTTAATA